GTCTATTCTGAGAGTCACTGGGGTTGACTGAGGTTACTTGTTAAAAATAGCAATTTATGCTACTGAAAATGTAAATGGGGAGGAAGAGAGATGGATGGGTTAGCCGAATCCAGATAAAAAACTGAGAGGAGAATTRTAACATAGGAAATAACATAGGAAATGTCAACAACCCTACTTGATGTAGAGTAAGAAATAATTAAAATGCACTGCCATCCTCTGTGATTAGGTGAAGTCTAACTACACTGTCTTCAAAAGCAGTGTATCCAATATGTGTCTGTATACTGTAGTCCTTGGAAAGAACCAAAATAACATACTGGTTTTAATCTAGGAAAGTATAAAAAATCAATGGTGAATGTAGGTGTAGAATTTTGGCTACCAAAATTTAGCTCGAAAGCTCAACAGAGTATATCTGACTGAGAAGAAACTCATAAAACTGGGAAACCGTCTATTTGTTTGATGTTGATTAGGTATTGTTTCACTGGTAATTCTATTCCCCTTGGATACAGTGACTTTCCTTACAGATTAGGGTATTTTTTCAAGGCTTGAAGCTGTGTTTGTGAGGCTTTAAGAGAGACATCCAGAGTCCATCAGCTCTGAGTCTCCCTGCCAAACTGAAGTCTGTCATTGCTTCTGAGTGGCTCTGTGTGCAGAAGCAACAGCATAGGCAGGAATCTCAATGTTGTTGTTTGAAACAACAGACAGAAGTAAAACAGCTTTTAATTGAGGTGTTTTCAGAACCAACAAAACAAGTTTCTAGTGTATGAGAACACTAGAGTTAGGATACATCAGGATTGTCAGTTAGGATGGATTATAGTGGCAAAAATGAGATTRTAGAAGTAGGTGGAAAGAAATAAGCAGTCTATTTTTCAATGTGTACAGTTCTGATCTAGTGTTCCTAGTAAGATTATCTTTTTTTTCTGCCATGCCTGCTTTTTCAGCATGATGTCTTCTAAAGAGTTTAACTAAAAAACAGTCATGCAGCAGCCATCTAGATGCTGGGAAAATGTGTCAAGTAACTGAAATTGTAAAAGAGGTGATGAATTGATGGAGTGTGATGTCCCACTGTGGCAGTTCCATTGCCGAAGTAAGGTGTCAGCATTGGACACCAGGAAAAAGACAACCAGTCTGTGTTTGTCATATCCAAAGTGACTTTAGCGCAGATCGGATTCGRTATTTTTTAAACACTTTCTTTTTTAAACTATATTGCCAAACTGTGTCTTTAATCATTTCATACCTGGTGGAGACGAGGTGGAGGAAGGGCTTTACAGCGCTACAGGCTGGGAGCAGCATGGCTGGAAAACTGCTCAGTGGAAAAGGACCACTGGTCCTTCCACTGCTGGTTGACAGCAGCTGACCATGAACTAGGTGGGCCCAAGTGGYCAAGAAGGCCAATGGCACTGGGCCTGTGTCAGCAATGGTRTCCAGCAGGACCAGGACAGTGATTGTCCCTCTGTACTCAGCATTGGTGAGGCCACACCTCAAATCCTGTGTTCAGTTTCGGGTCCCTCATGACAAGAAAAGCATTGAGGGGCTGGAGTTTGTCCAGAAAAGGGYGCTACAGCAAGTTTCTTAGGACCATATCTTGGAGGGTTTKACTATCTCCAAKGATGGAGGTTTTGRAACTTCTCTGGGCAGCCTGTTTCAGTGTTCTACTGTCACAGTAGAAAAGTTTTTCTTGTATTCAAACGGAAATTCTTGTAATGGTTTCTGATTCTCACCTTTTGTCCTGTCATTGGGCATCAGTGAGAAGAACCTGGCTCCATCTTCATTAGATACTCCCATCAGTCATTCTGAGTAGAGACAAGGGTTGTGTCTCTTGGCCTGCTGGTGATGCTCTTGCTGATGCAGCCCGGGATGCTGTTGGTCTTACTGGGTACAGAGGCTCATTGCTGGTTCATGTTCAACTTATTCTTCACCACAATCGACAGGTTGTTTTCTGCAAAGCTGCTTTCCAGAGTGAACTCTGTGGGACCCTGATAGGCCGTTTCTTCAGATGCTGAGATCCCTCTGAATGACTTACCTGACATATCAGCACTCTGTGGGGTTTTGGATTGCCTGCCATGTCGCTGAGATTGCATCAGCCTGGTTGTAAATGGAGGTGTTGGGCAGTGTTTGCCYCTGGGGTGCTCCAGCTGTGCCTGACCTCCAGCTGATCTATGTGCCACTCGCCAAAGCCCTTTGGATCTGCAGTTCAGCCAGGTTTCAGTCCACCTCACTGTCCACTTATCTAACTTGTACTTCATCAGCTTCTCAGAGGCTTTTAYGAGTGAGTGTTTTGAAAGCCTTGCTGGAGTCAAGGTAAACAACATCTGCTGCTCTCCCTGCATCCACAGAGCTGGTTACTGCATTGTACAAAGCTGTCATTGCTTAAACATGATTTCCCTGTTCTAAATCCATGCTGATCCATTCAGATCATCTACTTGACTTTAATATGTTTGCAGATGTTTTCTAGAATTATTTCTGCTGTCATCTTCCTGGGAACTGAGGAGAAGTTCATTGGCCTGTAGTTTTCTGCATCTTCTTAGTCTCATGGAAGATAGGAGTGACAGTTGCTTTCTTCAGAAAACTCTCCTGATCATCACAGCCTTTCAAACATATTGAAACTGGGACCTTGGCTTCATCTATCCTTGTATCAGTTCAAACCTCTGGAAATTAATTTCAAATTATSGTGTTGTTTTTATAATTTTTTAATTAAAAAAATGCTAGGGTTTTCTTGTTAATCATCTACTAGAATAGCTTAACCTTTGTTTTACCCTCACTCAGAAATGAAGTATTCTAATAGTTAACTTCCACCACACTGTTTCAAGTATTCCTTCTTGTCTGTTGGAACATGATTTTTCAGAGAAGCAATTATATTTCTCTGTGACTTCTAGCAAGATGTGGAYACCCTTTTCTAACAGTAAGGGAGAACAGTCACATCTCTGATTGTATCTCTGAAAGTTTTGCAGAAATACTTGAAACRTACACATAAAAGCAAAAATATGGGCTGTGTTACATAGTTGAGGGTGGTGATGATCATTTGTCCAAGCCACCTTAATTTTCCACTTCTGATATGATGAAACAGTCACCTGACTCAAGCAGAGGAAATCCTGCTGTTTGGAAGACTCCTGTGAGATTGTCTCCTTATTTCTCTATGCCTGTAAATATCTCGAGTAAATTTATCTCATCAACTTTGATGATCTAAATCTTAGAATAAATCACTTCCAGGTGAGCCTTAGGACAACTTGTTAATATGTATCTTAAACAGRTAGGCTGAACTACCCACTGGAGATTCCTGKTTTTGCTGGCTATAGAGGGATTGTRCACTGCCWGTTTAGACCWATGACTTGCCYAAAATGAATTAATCTAATGTTARATGAGAGGCATGTGTTAAACTGTTCCAATATCTTAAACATGAGCATTATGACTTCTTATGTTTCTTGAGTTACCTCTTTTCTGAAGATTCATTCAAATTACGAGCTAAATAATTTACAAGTGAAAAGACATTTTGCACTTGCAATTACTTACTTGTGTTTTCCAAAATTATTAGTAACACTATTAAAATTGCATTGAAAGCAGACTTTGTRCATATGCTCTCAATGAAAACAAGATAGCAATATGGTGATTTATTTTTACATCGCAGAGAGATTCTGAATACTTTTTTTTATTCTTGAGGATTTTGAAGCTAATGAGACAAGGGAAAATATCTGAGAGTAACTATAAACAATTCTAACCTGTGCTGGGAATTACCTGATTAAGTACATGTCACAATACCTGTGTAGAGTCGAATGAAAAGTTCATCTACATCCTCTACCATTAGAATCGTTCTGTAAGTCAGAATTAAAATGTTTTTTAATGTGTTTAAAATTAGGCTCCCACATTTATTCATGTCCAGGTACATAATAAAGGACTAAATTGGCTGAATTTCTGAGGATCTACTAGTTTCCATGGCCACTTAAACTGCATATTATTCATATCAACAAGCACTAGTTCTCCCATCTCTCTCTCTCTGTATGGTGCTGTGTCAGGTGTTAAACTTTGATATATGTAATTGTACATCTTTATCACTTCTGGTCTTAGTACCACCCYTACTGTTGTGGTTTGAGGCTTTTGTTCTTCTGCTTTAATTTTCAAGAGCTTTTGCTGTCTGATTACATCCCTCTTAAGATTAAAATAACAATTTTGGAGTTCAAAATTGCATGGAAAATGATCATTCTGATTTGGAAATTATATAGCACTATTCCARCCCCCTGAATTCCCAGTATTACATAATACCAGTATGTTCATCTAATTCCTGAGCCACTTGCAAATTAATTACATGTAATGACAAAATCAGAGCTTGATATGCATTCTCAAGTGTTACCTGTCTAAATAAAGAGGCATAATGACACAAAATAATAGGAATGATTTGTAATGTGCCTCTTTCATGCTTTACTGGAGGTGTATGGACCCAGACCTTGAAAGAAAAATCTGGTGTTTCTAGTCCTGCATGTTGGTTGATAAAATCAGCTCTGGTTTTTAACCTGGACTGAGGTACTGTAGACAATAAAGAGCCCCTTATTTATTTTATCATGCATTTCAAAAAAGTAGGAATAGATACTGGAAAAACAAAACAAAACAGGAAGCTGAAGATTATTCCTTTAGCCTTCAGGCAAGATTCACATATAATCTTTTCTCAGAAGATGTATCTGAAAGACACAGGTTAAAATAAGAAAAAAAATTATTTTTATTGTATTATTAATTGTCTTCTATGGTGCATCCAGAGATTAGGTTTTGGGAAAGCTGCCAGTGAGAAATTGTTCGTAGAAGCTTCCAGTTTTCAGAAAGAGCAAATATTSAAAAGTGTCTGCAGATGCAGAGTATGAAGATTCCTTTGAAAGGCAAAGTGGGTAATCTTACTTATTATATGGAAAAACTTGTTGACGCTAGTATCACTGATGCTTTTATGCTGGTAATAAATTTCATAAACATGTTTTCATAAACTTCCACTTACTAAGCATTTTTATTCTTCCTGTTTGTAGAACATTCAAGGTATCTCTAAACATCCAGTTACAATTAGAAAGAAACAGTACATAAAAGGTAAACTGTGTTTTTATTAAGATGAAAAAGCAGTTTTATCTAATTATTTTACTGTTATTATATTTTTAAGCAGACTGATAGCTTCAGCATTAAATAACAGATGATTGATGCTTTGTTATGCATTAACATTTAAACCACTTTCTCTGGTTGTTCCTGAAAAAAAAATTTGCTGTTTCGGCAGTGCTTTAAATAGTTACAAGCTTTTAGATTTTTTTGTTTCACTCACTTTTTCCAGATGAAATTATGCATCTTAAATATCCTAGGGATGATTTTGTGTGCATTCAGCTCATAGGGCACTGTCTGAGTCAATGTTTAAGCTGGGTCATTTTAATACACTCACAACTAAATAAAGTAGTTAGTCAGGTGTGTTGGTTTTGGTAACAGAAGTGAATTTAAGGCAGATGGTTCAGAGAGAATCAAAGTAAAGTCTAGAAAAGCACAAGCCAAGTGATAAAGAGAGAAACCCACAGTAGCAGWCTCAATTATAAAAGAGACATTTTGGGACATACATTTTCCTTTAATGCCTGCAGCCACAGCTGCTCCTTGTTGTGCTTGGTTCTCAGCTAAGGGCAAACTTTGTCTTTTCACAGCTATTTCWGTGTGTTGAAAATAATACAGGCCATTAAACAGGAGGCTGTGGAAGATAATGTAAAATTTTGACAGTAGTTTTATTTTATCTACATGATTCATTTTTACAAGTGTTTTTTTTTTAAGTTGCTATAAAAAACTGTGTCAGCAGGGGCATCATAAACCTGAGTTGCTGGGCATAACTGTGGCACATGAAACTTTCTGGAAATTTTGTTAATCTTTTATAACATGTGCTTCTCAAAAATGTATTCCTAAGTTTTTCCTATGTCAAGACACACTTGTTTTTTTCTTTTTTTCTTCACTTTTATGTTGACCAGATTGATTCTGTTGCATTTCAGACCACCATCCCTCTCTACAYTATGTGTATCAGCTGATATTCCTTGGATGCACTCAGTTTGTAGTACCTTGTGTTAGTGTTTCAATATATTAGTGGGTATTTCTATCATTACAGTTTGGATGCTTCTGACACCTGTATGTTCTCAATATTATATTCCCTACCACCTGTAGCTCAGAATTTGATTATTTACACATTGCTGCAGCATGTTCAAAGATAGAAAAATACAGWTTTTTACTTATTTTTAAAGATGCTTCTTTATGAATTCATCCTTTATTAGGTGATCTGTTAGATTAATGTTAGATATTGTTTATATTTGACAGCTTATGTTTAGGGAATGATTTGGTTTTGAGATCGGAAGGAAGCAGTACTGCAAGGGTGGTGGAGSTAGAGCTGTACATGACTGTTACAGACAAATTATTGGGATGCTGGCAGTTAGTGCTCTGCTAGGCTGCTTAAATTGTCATTTATGTGGCATTAGTCATGTGTTTGGTATAAAATCTCCTATTGATTGCAACACAATATTTTTGGACTGGTGTTTGGGATTTAAATGTCTATCTCCTCTCTAGGAAAAGAAGAGGACATAGTAACTATTTCCCCAAGAACATTGTTTGTTTCAAAAAAAGGATGTACATTTTTAGCAGCAGGTAAGAGAATGTGTATTATTATCCTCATGCATGTTAATATTCACAGTTCTGTCATCTCTTTTTCCCCTCTCCTTTAGATGACATATTTTACAAGGCTGTCAAATCCCTTAGTTTCAATTAATATTGTTATATGTGTATTCCTTATTATGCTTTGGAAGTGGCTGATGTTTAAGCCTTGTCAGTAGAAACAGAGTTAATAGGATTAATTGACACAGGAAGATAATGAAGTAATGAGACACTTTGTGATTCACAGCTGGAATATAACATGTTCAGGATGAACTTGTTACAAGCATCTGTCTTTTTTGAGCATGAAGAAGTGATTGAATACTCCAGGCTTACATTTTAATTTGTGAYAGTTTGATTAAAATGCAGGTATGTTTTTATTTTAGAACAATAGATTCATTTTAACACTGTTTTCTAGACTTTTCCCATATTGAGTTAAGGATCCTTGCTGACTTATCATCTGAACCAGAACTTCTGAAACTGTTCCAAGAACCTGAAATCACTGATATATTTTCTACACTTGCTTCTCAGTGGTAAGATTAAATGTTGCATATTTTAATAGTAATCAGAAAAAATAGTAAGAATAACCTATTGTATTACTGCATAATGATAACAAAAGACTGTATTTTGTTAGATCAGTATCTATTGTTCATACTATTTTAACACCATTAACTCCTTTCTGTCTTTTTGRTCCTTTTCTTCTCCACTGTGATTAGTTACCACATATCAAAATGTTGCAATCCAACTGGCCAGTATGAGCCTTGTGGCGAAAGCTGATGCAATGACATATCATGAATTGTGGTTGCTGATAACTTTCTCTTTGTGTTATCTTTAGCCAATTATTTTTAAAAATCTAGAGCAGCAGTTAGATAGGTTATCCATCTGAAAAACTGCAGAACACCTTTTCTCAGTAAAAGTACAAGCATTTTTGAAATTTACTTAGTTATCCAATAGAAGTATTGGAATCAAATTACATATATTTAAGAAATGGAGATTAGAGCTCATGGGATTCCTTTTCAACTAATAGGATTTAGTGTTTCCATTCTGATGGATGACTTGGAAAAGGWGGTACTCCAATAATTTTTAAAAAGGTAGATCTTTTATCTCCATATCTATCTAATTATTTACTGTTCTCTTCAGTATGCAGATTAAAAGATTAGCTATCAGAAAATATAGCTTTGAAGGTATTTTATATTGTTGTTTATATCATGGTGWTGCCTAAAAATCTCACTTGAGGCTGGGACTCCCCTTTTGCTCAAAAGTGCACAAGCATTCAATAAGTGACAGGATAGATGTCAAGAAACATACAGTTTCAACAGATAGGTCAGAAAAAGATTTAATAAAATGCTGTAGCATCAGGTTGTTTGAACAGACTGAAGATCATGTCAATATTAYGCAATTTTCTTATTTTCTCTTTGTCCTCTCTCTCTTTTATCTTTTGATCTCCGTTTTTRGTTGGAAGATTGTTATCTTAAAATTAAAACAAAAATAGGTATGATTGATTGAGCTCAATTCTTATCCTACAGTTTCTAAATTTTTGTAGTCATAGTTATCCCAGACGTGGTGTTTCCTACACACTTCCATAGCTCACAGAGTCTTAGAATCATTGAATGGTTTGGGTTGGAACAGACCTTAAAGACCAAATAGTTCCTGCCATGGGCAGGGACACYTTCCTCTAGACCAGGTTGCTTGAAGTCCCATCCGATCTGGCCTTGAGCAATTCCAGGGWTGGGGCACATTTGACAATATGCTCTGATGTCGTACAAACAAAATGGAGCTCATATTATAATTGYCCTGCTACCAACAACTGAATCAGTTCTTGAGGCATGTGCACTCTGGGAGAACAAAACTCAAGACCACAAACATCCATCAAATATATTTATGGAAAGATCACCTTTCTTTTAGAGTTTCTTAGAAGCTTCTCTTGATACTGTAATAAATTCTTATCTCTACATGATATTGCTAGAACCTCATGATGGAGTTAAATCCTTATTTTAGTTTGGTGGCTTATTGGAAATGTATGCATGAAGATGAGTCAAATTTTGTCTCAACTCTGGGCACAGCTCCAGAAATACCATTCTATTCAGCAATCTCATGGCTCTTGGCAGCCATCAAACTCTTGCAGTTGCTGCACGGTAACTTTAAATTTAACAAAATATTACAGGCAAATATTTTTATCAGATAGAATTGTCATGGTGTGTCTGCAAAATCATTACATAATGATTCTGCYGACTATTAAGCTTCAGAAAAGCTAATGCTTGGAATAAACTTTTTTATTCAATCTATTATTTGATTTATGAATCACAGAAACACGAAGGGTGTGTTTAATCTCATCTAACCTTGGACATCTGTCACATACTTGGAGAGATTCATTTGGCTGACTGTTGATATGCCTGTGTAATAAGATCAATTGCACATTAAAAGTGTTGAATACTCACCACTGAGAACAACAAAGGTCTGGGGTGGCCAGCTCAAATGTAGACATCTGTATTTGTTCTGACAAATTGAATTCCTCCTGTTGGGTCAGCTCCTACTGAATCATCTTGGATTTTTGAATGTTGTCCTTAATTTCTTTAGCACCAAAGAGAAGATATAAAATGACAGGCTTCACAGATGCTTTCTCATTCCAGATACTTATTCATCTCTCACAGTCCACTATTGATAAATAAAATCTTCAGGGCCAACAATTAGTCAATGGACTTTATTGTGGCTGGTTCTACTCACTGATATTAGAATGAGTTATGAAAAGAGCCAAATAAACAACAAACCTTTTATCTCTTCTTGGTCATCTGTTTTTCTCTGGGTCTTAATCCTTTAAATCTGTGCAACTGATACATGAATGGGCATAGCAAATGCTGTGTTCTGTTTGAAGGAATTGCCTGTTGTTACTATTTGTAAATATTTTCTGACATTTTTTGTACAACTTGAAAAACCTTGACCAAAAAAAAAAGGTTTTTTCTCTAAGCAATCTGTAAAGARTGGATTCATTTCTGAAGATCCCTCTCCAGAGACAAAATATTAAGTTAGTGTTAGTGTCTAGTAGCATTTCAGCTTCTGAATGCATGTCAGTTGGTATCTTTTGGCAGATTTTCTGTATCTAAAAATCTTTAGACTGATGAATATTAAATCATAAATAGAAAAGAATGCATTTTTGGGTAGAAATCTRAGCCACACTTCAGAGTCCAGCCAAGTTTTATATCAGTTTATTCACTTATTTTTTCTAAATTTCATGAGGTCTCCACTGAAATGTAACTCCATTCCTTAGCTGCACTTTATGTAAAGCCTTATGTCTGAAACCCAACCTTTAAAAAATCTTCCAGAGGCTTTTTATAGCATTTTTCAGGAAATACTCATAGGTGAGCAGTTTCTGCAAAGAGGTAAGCTCTATGAGTTTCTGATTGAATTAAGATCTTTTGTGTATAAAAGCTTTCCTTTCATAATTTGGTTAGGTATTCTGATCTGTTATTCAGCCTATCTCTGGTGCCTCAGAGATGTGTCTCTTTTGGAAATCTGTTGGATCTATGTTTCTATTAAACATCATTCATGTGGAATCTTTACACTGGTCATCAGTGCAGGTAGAGATGCACAGGTATGTGTCTGTCCAGACTGTTTCTRTATGTTGTAGTGAAAGGCTGAGTGCAGGCATTAACTTCCATGCTAAAATTCAGTCACGTGCAGCACAATACCCCAGCCACCAACCCCAGTGAGGCAACGCTCCTGGCCAGGCTGGGCTGGGATCTTGTGCTGCTCTGGTGAGCTTGCAGTGACAGCTCATTTGAGGAGAAACTCAGCTCCAGCACTTTGTGCTTCCCTGCACTGTGCTCAGCTGWTTGCTGGAGACACTGCCTGCTGGAGATAGTTTTTCAAGTATTGTGTGTGCTCTTTTGGCAGAACCATCTTGAAATGGCTGTTCAGATAAAACTCTGAGAAGCTGCAGTTAACTACCACAGAAGCACAGAATGCTTTGTGTAGGATGRGGCCTTTAAAGATCTAGTCCACCCCCCTGCCAGATACAGGGACATCTTCCACCAGACCAGCTTACTCATCACTGTTTTGTACGGCCATTGTATTTTCTGGTCATCTAACATAGTTATCCCAGCTAAAACTAAGATGATTGAGGTTTAAATGTTCACTTGTATATGCTTAGACCCGTTCCTCCTGTTCTCCTGTCTCTGTGATGATGATGGTAAAGTATTGCCAGAATTATCTTACAGTGAGTCCTGTGTTATGGCCTACAAAGAGAAAGCCTTAGAAGACTGTTCAACACCTGCTCTTGCAACACCACCACGAGTGCATTACATTAATGACATGCTGAACACATGGCAAAATTTCAAGGCTTGCCTAAACTTTTGAAAATTTATGATATAACGAATTCTAGCTACCTGCAAGTTCACCTTGTGTTACATTGTCTTGATACCCTGTGACAGTCATAATCCTTTTAAAATCAAATCATCAACCCAGTGCTGATGGTGATGAGAGCTGTTCTGGCAGCTGTCGGACCAGCCAAGAGACCTAATTGCCATTAGACATTCAAATGACAACAAACTTCAGCGTGAACTTTCTCTCACTTCTTTAGCTTTTACCCAATAAAWGAAAAATAAGTAATTGTATTTAAAGTGCTGTTGATCTGCTTATCTTTAAATTGCTTTCAAAAATAGATGCTGAAAAATAAGTTAAGTTTTTTAGGTCGTGTGCAATTTATTTCTTAGTTAGAGGTGTCATGATTACCAATTTCTTTGAAACTGTTCTTTTGTCACCCTGCTCAGTAGTCTGTTGTTCCTCCATCATAGTATATACTCGTATTGACCCTATTGAGTCAAAAACCAGGAAAAGTATCTTGRTTTAGCTAAGCACTTAAAACACATCATAGTATGGGATTTCATTCTATCTCACCTATGTCTACTTTCCTGCTTGAGTGCTTTTTTAAATGGAGGTAGTACTGCTTCAGAGTTCCTATGATTCGAACATTAATCCATACTTAAAATATTTGGGAAAGTCCTTTCCTTTGTTTCTTCGGAATCTGTCTTGGAGAACTGGARATCCCCAAAAGTGACAAGTTCAGCTGCATCCAGCAGTTCCCTCCATCAAGGGTCCTGAGGACAGCCAGGCTGTACAAATGCAACTGTGTTGTTTATGGCTCTGAACTGGTTTAGTCAATTTAAACTTGAAGATGTTGTCACTATGTTTGCTACAGACACTTCTGATATCTGAAAATTATCTTTATGTCCTATGTTTTATGTTCTCAAGCCAGAAATAGAACACAGATGTGAGTGTCATAAATGGCCTAGCAGATTTATGGAGCCGTTTTACTCTTTTTAAATTATAACTATGGATTGAGATGTTAAAACATGTAGATTCTATATCCTCATAAACCACRAGGTTCAGAAGAAAAGATCCTGTTAGTAGATGTGTTGCAAGTGAATTGAAGTGAAAGTCCAATACTCCCATATCCAGAAACTTAGGGAAGGGAATACCCAAGTGATTTATAATCTCTAGGGTTAATATTAGCATATGAAACAAAGASCATTCCCTT